AGGAGAAACTTGGAGTTAGCTCCCAAAGCTTCCTATCGCGGAACAGATCCCCACACTACAACTGCTTGGATTTTAAAAATTGATCATATTTTTTAGGAATGCAAAATAGTGGGCAGCAAAAGTTTTAGTTCGGATAGTCCGGAACTTAGCAACAATAAAAATTACAAGAATAAATCAATTATATTTTATTATTATTATAAATAATTACTTAAAATGATACCGCAAAACTCATGTTTTAATTAAGTTGCATATTGGCCATCACAACCCTAAAGTTTATCAAAAATATAGGATTATGCTCGATTTTTTAAAAATTCTATACATTTGAACATAATGACTGGCGCTGTATAGTCAATTCTGGCTCTTGTGTCAAACTTTTAACAAACCAATCTAATATTTTTGAAGAAAAAAAATAATAAAATAAAATAAACACCGATATTTACAAGCATAAAAAATTATATGAGATTCTCGAAAATTTCATTTCTTTAAAATATTTCTTATATCATTCTATTACTTTCAACTATTCTCTATTAGTCAACTTCAAACAACTTTCAACATATTAAAACAAAGCTAAAATTTGCATATAGCAAGTACTACATTAGGGTTTCCAATAACAATCATACTTAAGTTTAACGTTAGTTTGTTTATGTTGATGAATTCATAGTTCTTAGTAAGGATATTGGGCCACTATTCAGCCCGTTTGTCGAATATTAGGCAAAGTATTACTAGGAAAATTATCTTTTGAACAATAATATGTAATTTTTTTTGGGGGGGGGGATTTTAATGGATTTAAAAAGAATAATCTAAAATCGTATTTTTTATTATACATTATTAGAAATAATGAACTTCTGAACTTATCTTTAACTTGTTCTGAAACACATTTATAAAAGCGAAGTTTGAAGAACTGAAACTAGTAAGGCTGATTTCTTTTTTTAACGATATTCAATAAATTTAATCGTTTTATCAATACTTTATATTTTAAAAATTGAGAATTTTCATGTTTTAACTAAAGCGAAGCATGTTAACGGAGCGTTTCTAATAGACTTTATTATTCTATTGTCAACTTTTTCTTGTACGCGGTAAGACAGATTACTAGTAACATAGAAAACTGCGATTCTCAATGCTACAGTTATATTTCAGAACCAAGAACAATTTTAATTTTGTTTCTCTTTTGATTTTTTTAGGAATGATTTCTTTTTATTATGACAACATTTTTTAGAGAGCGTTCTTAATGAGCGTTATTCTTTCATGGTCGTATTCTTTTTTTAAAAAAATAGGGCAATGTGAAAAAGTTAAATTAAGATTTTCAGCGTTAAATCTTTCGTTTAAAAATTAAGAACGAATTTTGTTTTGGTTTCTATCTAGCTTTTTCGCTTTCAAAAAACTTATGTTTTTATAATGAGGTAATGAGGAATGCAATTAAGAGGGGTTCTATTAAGACTTTAATCTTTAGTTTTTGGTAAACTGAAATGTTTAGTTTTAAAATTTTCTTTCAAAAATTAAGATCAATTTTTATATTTTCTGTTTTTCTTTTGTATCTTTGTTTTTAATTGGGTTTGTTGTGATAGCTCTGTATTTTTAAAAACATTACTGATAGACATTAGTTTTTCGAATGTTTTATGGATAATTTCTTTTCCGGTAAATATTTTTAGCATTTAAATATTGTTTTAAAAATTAAGAGAACATCTTTTTTTTCTTCCATTTTTCTTTGTTTTTTTCAATTTTACAACTTTAATTTTTTTTAATAGCTGTTAGTTTTTTTATCTTAAATATTTTTTATTATCTTAATACCTAATTATCTTCATTATCTTTAACATTCTGATTAAAGCTTTTTTCCATTAACTCCATACCACTAATGCAGCTAAGTTTTGATTAATTTTCAATAACTTATTTCTACATAAAAAAATAACATTTATTGCTGATTTTTTTGTTAAATTTTTTTTTTTTTTGTTTTGATATTCGGTCGTCGAATATATTTGGTATTCCGCTGATTTTTTTGGTCGAATATTCAGATTCGGCAAAATCACTATTCGTTACATCTCTGGTTTGTAGCTCTCGCTTTTAATATTTTTTAAGAATATATGAACTGGTAGGAAAATAGGAACTTTTTATAAAACAATTAGAAACTTTTGATGAAAACAACAGCTCTTGAATACAAACTAAGACTAGGAAGTTCAATTCTAAAGAATCGGTGAAAAATAACTAAAATAAACAAAAATAAAACTCAGAAGTGAGCTAGTTCCTTTTATAAGTCATAAAAAATGATTTTTTTTAAAGTTTACGTCATAGCACAGTTTAATTTTAAAGATAAGTACTCACCAGGAATACCAAATGATGTGCTTTTTGGAGAATATTTCATAAAATGGTAGATCATAAAACACTGAAATTTTCAGCGTTTTGTTTAAATGTGAAATTTTGTTAGACATCTCACAAAAAAATAATTGAAACTAAGTGGTACTTTACACGTAAGCTTAAATTATTTTCTGTAGTTTCAGTTTTAAAATTCCGTTTTCGTAAAATTTACTAAACAAAGAATCAAATCTTCAAACAAAATTTTGTTATCAGTAGAAAAATATCCTCGTAAAGCGGAACAAGTTGGCTTCTCTGGTTTACATGAGAAAAAGAACACTTACTTTTAAATGGTTCCTTTTAAGGAATTCTCTTATAATTTCCACAAGTAATTATTCAGTCAATAATAAATACCTATTATTTCGTTTATTTATCAAGCTTGGAACTTTAGTTTTAAAAGAAAATATAATAAATTACATAATGTTCGAAAGTTAATATTAAAATTCTTTGGTAGAAAATACAAATTTCCTATACTCTTGACATTTTACTGTGATTCTTTGAAGGGAAATTTAACAGTAACATTAAATGATGTTCAGTTCAAAGTGCTTGCTAAGTAATAAATCTCATTTTAATAGAGTTCAATAAAATTGAAGAGCAAAAATAGTAGAGCTATTTCACATTTATAGATTGCCCTTCTAAGAAATGTAGAAATTTTGTTGAACTACTTCCACCAATCTACAGTCTACATTAAATGTAAAAATGGATCTGGATATTATATTACTAGCGGCAATAATAAATATTACTAACTCAAATATATTGACAAATAAACATTCTCAAGGAAACTAAACAGTTTTTTTTTTAAGGGTATTAGTTTTATTATACAAGAGAAATATTTTTAGTTAAATACAGCCAAACTTTTGAATGTAACTGAAATTGTTCAATTAAATTATACATTTGAAATATTTAATAAACTATAAATTTATTTAGATTTTTATTTTTACTATGGAATACCTCCATTACATTTTTGATATGTATATAACTAAGTTCGATGTAACCGATTTCCTATTTAGACATGTACAAAACTAATATTTGATATCAAGTTTTCGATTAATGGGAAAATTTTATTCTAGTCACTTCCTATTTTATTTTGTATCAATATAATTACAAAATTTCAGTTTTCGATGTCTTGCTTACCTAATTACGATTCATTTCAAACACTTTAATAATCTAAACTTTTGATTTGTAACTGGAAATATACACATAAAGTTTCAAACATATTTCAAAATTAAACTAAAGGGAAATAGAATAGTAATATTTCAATAATTTGAAAAAGTAATATTTAATTAAAAATTAGATCTCGACTGGTATAATCGAGTAATAGTTTGTAAGTTTTTTGTTGTGGACTTTTTAATGTAAATGTATTGAATAATGCTATCTCATTCTTTAACAGAATTTTCAGTAGGTTATGAATTCAATAGTTATTTAATGAATTTCTGTGTGTTTCAAATCAGATATAATTCTTAACAAATTAGTCTTATTACATTTTTGCATTTCAATTAAAATCAGAACTATGTAGATGTTTAATTATTCAATAGATAATATAGATTTATTTTAAGTTCTCTAATCTATTTTGAATATTTAAACAACTTTTTTTTTCTATTGAATATGGGTCAGAGAGTATTTTATAAAAACGATACTGATAAAATATGAATAAATTTGAAAGATTAGCACTAAATCAAGGTTAGATTTGAAGTATTGTAAATATTAACTTTAGAAGTGTTAGTTTATTATATTAACACATTAAGTTTTACATCTTAAATTTATTGTACTAACATAACACACATTATTATAATTAACAATTATATGAAAATATTAATTCAACATTCTTCAAGGTAATAGTGAAGCAAACGATTTTAATTCTTAAAAACAAAAGAACATCATTAAATATGAAAAATTAAGTAAAAATAAATCATAGAGAGACGGAAGATGGCGAATAAAAGTATTTACGGTAAAAGGCAATCTTTAGCTTGATTATATACATTTTGATTTTGAACAGAAACAGTAGCATTCGAAATTCAATTTTCAAAAAAATCGAGAGTACTGTGTTCTAGGCAAAGATCACTAATCACTAAGATCACAAATTCTATAATGCGCAATATGAAATTTCAATGTATGAGGAAAATTTTAATTATACTTTTTTATAAAAGTAAAAAGATTCTTACCTATATATTTTAAACGAAATTAAATTTGAGATCTAACTTACAATATTAGAACACACTTTTACTGTGCGATAAAGATCGTAGTGGCAGGAAAATGTATGCATATATAATCGCATTTGATCAAATATAACGATTGAAGAGAATTATAACGAGTATAAAGTTGAAAATGCAAAGTTGAAATTCTGAAATATAATGAAACTGTGATAAATAGAAGTGTGCTTCATTTATCACAGTAATATAACAGTGTACTACTAAATAACAGAGAATAATAAATATATAATACTAATGCAAATAGATAACTCAAAATACATTAAATCTATTCAGGAAAATAATACAAAATATATTCACAGACAACAGGAGAATAGTGGGTGAAAATAAAATAATTTCTGCGAAAAATATATCTCTATCCGAAATCAAAAGATTTCGCTTCACGAAGATACGTGCCATATTGATTTGTGTGGATTAATAAGGTGCAAATTTTAAAATTAAACTTACCTTTACTATCTGAGAAGCAGCATAGCAAAAAAGCACCTAAAAAGAGCACCGAGATAAAATAAGATATTCTTCTACCCATGACTACAACCACATGATGCCTTAGAATCTTTCTCTTCTCGCAATCTCATGTTGACTATCCTATCATACTTCGCATCTTCCAGCGAGCAGATGAATCCCACACAAAGCTAGAGAAAGCAGTTCTTCTATGCACATAATCCGGGCACTTAGTATTTTCTTGGCAGACGAACAATCAGTGTTTGTGCCGCCATCTATCGCATATTTTAGAAATAGTTTCAGTGGTCAAAAAATAAATTTTTAACACACTTTTTAAGTTCTATTTCTTTTATTATTTTTTTTTAGCGAAATGAATTACTTTTTTCGGAAATTAGCAGGTGTTAGGAGAATCCCAGAATAAAATCCATTAATATATTTCATACGATTCATCTACTATTTACATTCAGATATTTAATGAGCATTTTTGTGTGAATAAATGAATAAAACATTTTTACCATTTTAATTTATAAAATGTTGCGCTGATTTGAATTATAGTGCATCAAATTTTGGTAGTTTTACAATTTTTGTTAAAAAATAGCTTAAAAATTTTTGTTAAAAATGTTTTTTGTAACCATAAAATATAATATTAGAAGAATAAGGTAAAATAATTATTACATATCTAATATACTAATTTGCAGATTAAAATACATAATTAAGTATTAAGTACATTTTCAAATATTTCAAAAATACTTGAAGTAAATTAATTTTTGCATAACTTTTCCAATCGATTTACGATGATATTATAATAAGTTATTATAAATTTAACTTAAATTAATAAGGAAGTAATTTTCGACTATTATTTAACAGTTTAATAAAGCATTATTTTATTCTTAAATTCAAAGAGAATTGCGTCTTAATTCCTACTAAACTTTCTTTTTTTCGTACAGTACGCAAAATTGAAAAGAGAAATTGAAAAATTAAAATTTTAAAGATTTTTTTGTTATTATTGAAATAAAGCAAAAAAATTGAAAAAAGCAATTTAAAGTAGAAAAATTGAAAAAAAAAAAAAAAGAGAGAGAGAGAGAGAGAAAGGGAAAATCTATTAAATTATTAGCATGTTTAAGTTTGTTTTTCTAAAAAGTTCCTTGTTAAAGAAAAAGGAGAAAAAAAATAGATGAATGCGAAAGACTGATAATGCGAAATAATTTAGTTAAAAAAGATCGATTTTTCCATTGATATCCTAAGTTTTTCCTTTTTTTTTTCTTTTCTCATCTTTACTTTTTTTTCTTCAATTTTTTTACCCTCCTCCCCTGTTCCAAAATAGTGTCACACTGTACAATCTAAACATATGCAAAACGTGTTTTATGAAACAGGTTTTAAATTTTATTTTTAAAATTTAACTGCATTTTTTGACTGTATTAATGAACTTTACAATAATAATTACTAAACATCGCATTAAAAAAATGAAACAATATAGAACAAATAATGCAAAGATATTTTATGAGTTGATTTTAAATATTTTTTAAAATCAAAATGGGGAATGTCACCCATCTTGTTACACCCTTCCAGTGTGATATCATTTGTAGACGACCTCTATTAAAGAAATATCGATTATTCAATATCAAATGATCAATGGCACAAAATTATTGAATTCACCTATTGATAAGTTTTTTCACTCTCTTTTTAATTTTATTTTACAATTTTTATTATTCTAAAACTAAATGATCGAAACTTATTATGTCCCGCTTTTAAATGCTCTATTAAATCGAAATAATCAATCAATGTAGTATGTCAAAGTTCTTTATTCATTTGCTTTACGGAATGGTTAATTTATTTACAGTAGTAGTTTCAACTAAAGCTTTTCTAATTTAGCATTTCCACTGAAATTTTCACCGGTCACTTAACAAATATTTGACATAGCACGATCGTAATAAAATTTTAAAAAAATTAATTTTTATATTAAAATATTTCTTGTTGTTGTTGATATACCAGACAAAAATGAATCAGTCAACTTTAACAAGAAATTTGAATCTTTTGAGCTTAATTTATGATTTTGGGGGGATTCCATAACAAGCCTTATTGTCACAAAATGATTTTCATTCATTATTTAAAAAAAAAATATTTAAAAATAAAATATAATTTTTATTTTATTGAGTTTCATGGGGGAGCTAAGTTACATTTGCTTAAAACCATGGTGAAAACCTTGTAAAGCCCAGATTGGTGAATAATGACCCAATGAGTTCCCAAGTTATTTTCCTGCTATGGCATTAACAATATCACTTTTTTGAAAGAAAATTGTTACAAATTTCATTATAAAAAGAAAAAGTGGAATAATGTAGACAAGAATTAATTTCGGAGCAAGTGCAAAAGTTTTCTTCAACAGATGCTTGTTTGCGGGGCCGAATATTCTGTAAGCCAAAATGATTCTTGTATTATTTAATAACAGTGTAAAATTTACGTTAAAAAATTATTTTAATTTTATTTGAAGTAGTATTATTTTTTTTTCATTCATGGAACTATTTTATTTTTGCTAAAAAAATTTATTATTCTTGTGCATTGAATTTATTTCATTAGTGTATTAATTAATTTCGAAACAATTTCATTTGTTTCACTGTGTTCGTCATGTTAACATGTTCAGAGAAGAGTACCTAAATTGAAAAGGTAGAGACAACAAAGAGACAATTTCTGGACATTTTACATTGTTCTTTTTGCACGAGATAGTGCCACCATGCAAATATGTAGAGTGCAACACATGTATAGTAAAAACCCTCTTACTTTAGTACTTTTTCGTAATATTTAATTTTCTTAAAGGAGGAAAAAATCTGATATTAAACTTAAAGGATAGCAATACCCGCTGTTTTGACTTTGTTTGCTAAATATTTGACTTGCGGGGACATAATATAGATAAATGAGTTTTAAATTTTGTGGGAAAAAAGTTTTTGATTTGCTTGAAAAAATTCCTGAGATACGAAGAAAAAGTGAAATTAACATTAAGGGGGGCCACAAACCTTCGACCGCTTTTCTGCCTAAAACATTGGATCCATATTTTCCAGATTACCAGTACCCCCCCTCTCCCTCCTATTTTTATTGTCAAGAATTCAAATCCGTCACAAAACAAGAAAAATTACGTTTTCGTATTCGATTTTGTAACTTTGGTGTTACGTTTGAAGCGTTACAGTAGTTTATTTAAGATTAGTTTCTTGAATCATTCAAACTGCATCTTAGCATATGAAAATCTGTTCATTGGATCAAATATTGTTAAGGTGCTCCGTTTTTTATTTTGCGCAATCAACGTCGAAGAAATGCCGATGTTAAGGCACGAAAATAACAGAAATGGTTTTTCAATCAGTATGTAAAAGATATTAAGCAATAGATGTCGCTGTCGGAGAGGCCAGTCGTTCTTTCTCCTCAGTTCGTTTTTAAATGTTGTTCTAAAAGTAGTGTGGTTGTAGTGTTTGTATTTTGTGTATGTTCTTGTTCGTCATTAAAATGTGTTGTCCGTAATTTTGGGCTTTTAGTATCAATTATTTAGTACCCACAGTATAAATAAAAAGTCTTTTAGGAGTTTGCAAGCAGTGGCGTAGCGAGGGGTGGGCAAGGGGGGGCATCATGCCCCGGGCGCTACTCACAAAGGGGCGCCAAATGGTCCGCAAAACAAAAAATTGCTGAATAATTTTTTTTTATTATAATTGATTTCTGGAAAATATATTTTAACTTAGTGCCAGTGTAATATAATAAATGTCAATTCATAAATATTATTCATAATAATTAATATTTAATTCATATTAAATATTATATTAAATTCATATTCATATTAAATATATTTCAATATTTAATTCACGTCCTTGTCATCGAGCTCTGCTTAGNCTGAGAGCGGCATTTCAAATACTCCTGACTATCTCAGTATCAATTGCTAGCTGCGAACGTTCATTCAGCAAATTAAAATTAATTTTGACAGATCGCCTAAGTGACCTAGCATTTTTAAGTATGGAAAGAGTAAAAGTTTAAATGATCAATTTTGATGATATTATTGATACATTTGCTTCATCAAAAGCATGGAAAATTTTGACATAGTAATTAGTTTTATTAATGTATTATAATCATAAAATATATAGAGATATATAAAAAATATACTCCTATAAATATACTCCTATAAATATATAAAAAATATACTCCTAATATATAAAAAATAATACTCCTTAGAGATAATAAATATTTACTTTTTAATTGCTTTAAAACTGCGTGTTTTTAAAATATTTCTTTATAAATATGTAAAATAAATAATAGGTATCTTTTGAACTAATTCTAGATGATCATATACATTTCAAAATCTAGTCTTCTTCTCTCAACTACATTTTTTGTCTCAAATTTAAAACCTAGCTAGAGTCTATGACTTTATTTATTTATTATTTTAGAGTATATTTTACATATAAGATTATGTGGTTTTCGAATGGGGGGGGGCGCTAAAAGGATATTGTGCCCCGGGCGCGAGTTAAGCTCGCTACGCCACTGTTTGCAAGCATTTTCTACTTCATCTTTGCAATGTATAATTTTTATTTTTGATAATTTCTGCGGATTTGGGTCTTAACGAGCATGTTTATTTATATTTTTTGTAAATAGAATATACATCTCAAGATTTCCTCACTCTCCACACTTCTTGTTAATAATATTTCTCCATATTAATTACAATTTCTAAAACTCAATAGATGGCGCTCTGCGCAGTAATGTAAAATCATTAGTTTTCTAATCAGTTTCCTCCATGACACTGTACCATTATCATCATCCTTTTGTTATTAAATATATATTATGTTAAAAGGCGTTTGTTATGATTGAAACCCCGAGATCTGAGATCATATCACCGTATTTAATATTGGCGCCCAACGTGGGGCTAAGAATTTGATTAAAGGTGAGTGCACTTGAATTAAATAATGGATTCATACGATGATTTGAAGAATAAAAGGAAAACTATTCGCTCTTTAACAACTCGATTGATAACAAAAGGATGATGATAATGGTACAGTGTCATGGAGGAAACTGATTAGAAAACTAATGATTTTACATTACTGCGCAGAGCGCCATCTATTGAGTTTTAGAAATTATAGTTAATATGAAGAAATATTATTAACACTTCTCTTACATATCTAGGGTTACTTTATCTTATAACTGGCTTTGAGTAGTCAACCCAAGTTTTGAGTTCACGACAGCCAATGTTCATTCAACTCCGTAGCCTTGTAATTTTGAACCCAATACAGAAGACAAGGGAACTTCTGGATCAATCATTGGGACAAACTAGCCTTCGTAAAGGACTTTTTTGATGGAAATAACCCGCATTTGTAGCCGCAAATTGTAATTTTAAGTATTAAAAAATATTCCCTTAATCTAATTTACAGTTTTAAACTACAGAATTGTATACAATGTTTAAAAAATGGAACCTCCCCCCGAAATAAAATTGCTATGGAGACTTTCGCCACTGGATAGCCGTAGACTGAGAATTGAGTCAGCTGTTCAACGCCACTTATAAAGTAGAATGTAAACACTTAAACAGCTTTTAGTAGAATGTAAACACTTAAGCAGCAGTGTTTCAAAGAACCCTAAGGTTTGGTAGAAGAGTTAGAGGTGCGAGTTAGTACATTTTATAGCCAGTGATTAATTTTGAAACCTTTGATTACATTTAGATCCAACCTATAATTCATTGTTTATTTAATCTTTTGGTTGCCTTTAAGAAATTATTTCAAGTAACACGCCAGTGAAATAGAAAATGCATTTTTTAAAAAGATTATGTATGAATAAATTATGAAAAGAACAAGCATTTATAAAATATTGCATTAGTATTTTCTTTCGCGTTTTTCAAATCAAATTAAATATCTAAATTCTTTATTAGAGAAATATGTTTCCCCAATTACCATTTTCAATGTTTATAGCAGTTGTTTTAAGTTTCCAATTCGAAATAAATCAAAATTCGGCGTATTTTATTCACTTTCAGATTATGTATAATCACTAAAAACAAATTAATAAATAGACTAGTTATAGCATAAGGATTATAAATTTCTGTCGGACATAGGACCTAATTTAATATTAATAATGATAAAACGATGAAAGATCTTTATTCCTCTAATTAAATATTTTTAAAACAATCTTTTATAGGTTATAGCATTCAAAATTACCATAATGCTGCTTTTGTCCATTAAGGCAAGGAGGGGGGGGGGCATTGTTTTCCAGTGGCGCCATCTATGGCCAAGAATTCGGCTTCTGCCACACCCGTTTATAGGGTGGACCCATTCTTATATCCATCCACAGATCGTAATTTTGACCTGAACCAGAGAACGCTCAATCTCCAATTCAGTACCCCCAGAGGTTTAATTTGTTATAAGAATATGAAGGACTTTACGACCCGACAGATTTAGCATGCACCATTTACTACACGGAGAGTCTTCCGCCGGTTGACAATTACTTTAGTAAGCTTTATTTATAAAGTCAGGGTTCCATAGAGAGAAGGCTGATCGAAACTTTAGGAATTTGTCATTGAAAAAAAAAAAAATTGGAATCATTGTTTTAGTAGAGTAAACAAAATAAAAAACGGGTATTCATTATTTATGATCTGCCGACCATTTTATAGATTAAAAAAAAAACTAAACCCTATCCCTCCTGACGGATGGTTTTAGCAATGTAAAGATAAAATTAATTTTCTTATGTTCTTTTAGAAACCACTCAGAACGAGCTTTTTCCATCTATTTGGCGCAATGCCAAACAGTGCGATCATCAATGTTGCTCACTTCAACAGAAGTTGAGCAACCGCTTCACGCTCAGGAGGAAGCCCCATTCCACATCATCGTGGTTGGGTTTTCTGCGAAGTTCGGTGAGTGAACTCGCTAATCATACTATAGAAATGATCCTATGAAGTATGATCTTAATCCAAGCTCGTTTTTGGTAATACTAATATTCAAAGATCTGTAACATATGTTGGTAGATATTGATATTCAAAGTTTTTTTTTTTTTCAAATGTTCAATGTTAGTGCAGATTTTGATCATAATGTTTTATGTTTCGTATAGCGAAACACACAATTATAATATAATAATCACTCCACGTTTCTTCTAAGACAAAATGCTAATAAAATTGCCACATTTAATTCCACGTTTTTCTGACAAAGTTACGCTTATTCTTTACGAAATCAGGAAAGGCCCACAGAACTAATTGGATATACGATGAAAAGTAACGCCTACTTTCTCCTAATGTTCGGAAAGTGGCAGTGATATTTTTTAGCAAAGCGATGCGCAAGGAGAAAAAAAATTTCAAAATCACAAAAATACCTAAATCATAGGCATGGTTTTAAGCTGATGTAGTCCCAATTTTATTATCGATTGTGAAAGATAAGTTTTCGAATCAAAATGCAAAATGATATGCCCACTACTTTTAATTATTCCTTTTTAATTGTTTAATCATAAAATAGACAAGAATTCGTTTAATATTAGTTAAAGATGATTTTGTAGAATAATAATATATAAAATGTATAATAATAATAATTGTATCAATATTAAAATAATAAATATTGCATAAAAATTTCCTTTTCATTTTGAAAAATTAAATAGTTGTAGTAATAATAAATTGTTACGACTCCAACAAACTGAGGTCACAAAATTGTAAATTTGCAGAAACACAGACAGATAAATGTAGTTTTGGTCAATTAGTATTTTTCCTAAACGATAAATATAAATTTCCTAAATAAATATTTGTAGCCAAAATATTTTATCTAAATAATCAAATAATTTTCTAAATAATAATTAAAAAAAAAAACTAATTTTCCACGTATGAATTTTGTGTATTGCCGGAAGTTTATAAAAAGACAATTTAATAGTTTGATCCAAAAAAAATTATACATTATATATAAGTTCAAATTCAAGTTTGCAGTTAAATTCGCTTCCAGATTATTAAAGGACAAGCATTTTATTTTAAAGCATGAGAATAAAGCAATAAATCAATCACATAGTAGCTTGTTTATTTATAATTATATAGTCTTTACAAACTAATCATACTACAGATTTAACTACTTGCTAATCATTCTATAGAAAAGATCCTATGAAGTATGATCTTAATTCCAAACTGGATACGGGTGAAATCTCAGTAATTGGCGCGAAGGGCCACTATCCGATTCTGGTAAGTTCTGCGTACTTAATATGAAATAAAAGAAATGTAATGCACAGTATAAAACTGTGGAATCCTGGAAAGATGAAATTTTGGATGTAGTGGAAATCCACGTCTAGTTCTGACTCTCGAGGAGAAGAGAACGAAGCAGCTTAACAAAGTCTTCATCCTTTTAACATTCCATCATCTCTTTGAAGAGCCGTAAAAAACGGCTGGCATTATCCGTGGATTTCTTGTCATGAGCTTTTCTATCTTTTGGCAGTCTCCTGGGTCTTGTACCGCAGCCCGTTTCTTAATTCTCTATTTGCTCTAGGTAATACTTAATACAAATTGTTTTTGGTAATACTTACATTCAAAAATCTTTAATGCTTTAATGTAATGGTATTGTTCGTGGTCCCTGCCTTTAGGCATTTGCCACTTCATCATAAGTTCATTACATGCGCAACGAAAGTGAAAGTCATAAAGTAGTAATTCGCAATATGATCAAATGATTACAAAACGAAAAACAAAAAGCAAAATTACAGGAAAAAATAAATTCCGATTAATATAATTCCGTATAATAACTATAAACACGATATAAGTCCTAATAATAAAATATAAAATTGAAAAAGCGAGTTACAATAATATTACAGATATAAAAATTATATACAACAGTTGATTCGACGGGGTGATGGAGCGTCAACCAATGAGAATAGAGAAGTAGTATCTTCGGTGGGAACGCCTATTTCAAATATATCGACTTGATAAAACTAGAGTGCCTGTAAAAGTAAGTAATGAACTTATTATATGCCTTCATTAATGCAGAACATAAATTTTTTGAGGCAGATAATTTTCACTCAGTGTAATTCCAATGGCGAATTTTCCACTCTCGCCTCCGGCGGTAAAGTTTTTCTTTCCACCAATCAGGAATCGTTTCTCCCTTGTCCACACTCTTTTACTCTAGGTAAAACGGAGAGCGGCTAGGCTATGTAACTTCGGCCAAAGTGAATCGAGTATTCAAATAAAAATGAAATCGCACACTTAGTTGATATTAAAATGATAAAAAATAGATGAGATTTGATATCATTGCTTCACTGCCTCCAACAAAACAACAAACAATACAGGAACAAAAGGCAATAGGCATATAATATTGACCTAATATCTAACAAAAAATACAGGAGATAAAAATAAATGAATAAAAAAGTGTGGGGATCTATAAAAATATTAGTCAAATAAAAAAATAGATTTAGAAAAAAACAAATTATTAAAATATTTTGACATGATGCCGTCGGATATAGTAGAAAATTTGTCGAAGGGCTACGATTTATATTATCAATTATTAATTCCAGTTTAAATAAGTCTTTAAAATTTACTGCATCGCAGTCTAATGCTTTATTGTAGAATTTGGCTTTCCTAATTTCTAGATAATTAATATGTGGTGTAATTTTAAGATATTTTGTAATATCTTCGTTTCTCATAAACCAGGGGGCTCCTGTAATCTTTCTTAAACTTTTGTTTTCTAATACTTGAAGTTTGTTTAAATATGTTTTGCAGGCTGTGCCCTATGCGATAGACCCGTAGGTGATAATGGGTCTGATGCACATTATATACAGTAGTCTTTAATTTTTTAATGATAAGTTTGAGTAGCTGCCTGCTAAGAAGGAATTTGAGAGCAAAAAATGCTTTGTTTGCTTTTTTAATAATAATGGCTATATGCTCATTCTATGTTAATTTGTTGTTAACCCTTTCGCGCCGACTGACTGGTGACCAAAGTAGTGCCTTAGCAATTTATTTGTGGGTGGGGCTATAATTGTTTGATTGATTGTTTGATTCACCATTACTTAGTTCAAAATAAAATTATTTAGTTATACTTCGAACTAACATTTATTATATCTATGATTAAACTAACTGTAATTAGGGTAAAGATAAAGTAAGTCTGTCAAATTAGCAATGCCTTCATTTAAGTTACCGTTTTTTATTTATTTACATCCTGATTCTGATTTTGTACGAATCCTTTTTTGAATCACCCGTCCCCAAGGGGTTAATGGTAATACCAAGATATTTGGCGGTATTAACAATGGATTCTCATTAAAGAGAACGATATTTTCAGTGATGGTAATTTTTCTAATGATAATCAGTTGTGATTTTTCCGCGTTAATTTTTATTCGCCAGTTATTGCACCAATTTTCTATGTTTGTGCAGGTGATCTTGAGGTTTCTAGATCTTGAAATGATTGCTGTATCGTCTGCATAATAGGCGCTTAATTCATGTACTTCACTGTCCTTTTTAGGGAAATCCGAAGTATAGAGGATGTACAGTATAGGGCCGAGAATACTTCCCTGCGGTACACCTGCGCGAATATTCTGATGGATGCTGGATATTGGGGTTATATCGGCGTTTGGCGCGAAGCGCCACTAACCGATTCATCGATTCTGTTTTATCGTATTCTAGGAGGTCCTAAATAAACTGCTGTTTGTAGAAAATGCAACACCATGAAGGAATCATCAGAATCAAATGAAATTCGCAGCAAATGTCAATTATAGGATATTATGCAAATTAAAAGAGTTTCAGAGCCATCGCGCGTGCGTGGCGCGCGCAGCGCCCTCTGAATTGATGCTGAAAGCGTATAAATAAAGTGCTGTAGCGGGACGTTGAAAATAGTCTATGATTATTTGTTAGTGGCAAACGTTTAGTGAGACCTGAGTATGCCTCCACGACGGAAGAATAAGAAATTCAAGCAACTTACGGAGTTTGAACGAGGGAGGATAATCGGCCT